TTTGAGGGTGAGGTAATGGTGTCTTTCACTCTTAGGTGCCCAGCCTAAGACCATAGGATCTGAGTGTCTCACGCTGGGTAACCAACACTGTTGGTCACAAGTGTAGATCATTTCTTGTACATCACAAGTGATGTATCTGCACAAAAATGCTTACGGAATTTGTTCAGGAGACTGATTTCCAAACTAAACTTCCACCTGTTTTCTAACCCAGCACTAAGATACAACAGTCAAGACAGTTTTGGGTAAGTAAAGATAGTGTCTTAATTACTAGAGAAGATCATTAATCTCCTTTGGACTTGTCAAACCAGCACATCCTCTGATAATCCATCCCTTGCATGTATAAAGTTCATACCTTACTCCCTGAACGATGCACCCAGCAGAGAGTATTTGTTTTATAAAATGAAATTTATGCCCACAAATAAAGAAGAAAAATAGATTTTTAGTTTTAATGAAAATTGCAAATATTTACATTAAAGTTTGCTAGTACATGACTGTTTAGCCTCCATAGCTTGAGAGCCATTTTCCCTGTTGAAAATATAATATGAAAGTGAGCATATTTTCAATTTTTATTTTGACACAGTAACTGATATGCAAGCTCACTGGCCCCTATGATCTGGAATTCTGTTTCCAAGGGTGATAAGTACTGGATGCATCATAGTGTAATATGAAACTCCAGTAATGAATAATTACACAGAGATACGTACCTAAGGAAATTTCTTCAGATGTCAGTGGTGAAGGGGCATGTCATACTGAAGCGTGAGAGTCTGTTATTTATCAGTGATGATTTCTGCTGACACAAGTGTGAATAATATTTTAAGTATTCACTTAAATGCCTAATCTCCTTCTGAATCTAATGAACCTGCTGGCCTTATTGACCTCTACTTTGACAGTGACTCCTAAAGTTTTAATTTTGCCTTGGATGATATGCTGGTGAAAAAATAATTTATTTTATCAAGCTAAGTAAGTGTCCCTTGAATTTTATTAGCAGTGTCTATTTTCTTACTTAAGTGAGAGGAAGCAAATAGGCCATCAGTTAGCATAGCCGGGCTCACTGAAGTTTATGATTTTATATGAATTTATGCCAAGTGAGGTCCCAGTCCACTCTCTTCAAGCTGGAGGCACACAAACATCATGTATTGCAGGGAGACTATTTATTACTCTTTTCTTTAAATTCTGTATCATATCATGTTGTTTTGTTGTCTTTTTGTTTGTTTCTTTGATTGCTTTCTCCCTGACTATTGCTTAGTAATAAGTGGATGTATGGATTTGTCCTCAGTTTTTGAAGTTGCTTTTTGTAAGAAGCCAAAGTTAATTTAGAAGCCATGAATTTTCAAACTGTTCCTTCCAGAGTGTTTCCATCTATGTTGTACTGTAACCATCACCCAGTAATGGTTATTTTATCCAAGTCTTTAAGCAAGGTATTTACAGAGCTTTCCATAATGCCTTTTACTCTGTCTAAAGGGTTCCATCAACTTTGTTCTTGTATTGCTTATAGGTAGTATGAATAAATTGCTTAGCAGAGGTCTTTGCCTCACCCCTAGCAGTGCCTTTGTTCTGTGTTTAAAAGTGGATTATATAATCAATTTCTGTTCATTAATCTCTCTAGAAATGTTTCCAAACTTGGCCCCCTCACATCTCAGAATTACGTCTAAGCTGGTTTACTTCCATTTCTTCAGTTAATCCCAAGGAGGATCTTCAGCTTTCATAAAGTTCATATCAGTCATGACTTGGCTTCCAGTGTAGGGAAGTTAACTATGCAATGAATATGTTTGTAAATCATGTTGGAGTTTTAAGGGAAAAAATATTTCACCATTTCTGTATAGCTGGGAAGTAAAGAGTGTTCTGACTGCCCAAAGATATACCTTATTTAACTTATATTTTAAAAAACAAAAAGAAGAGAATGTCCTTTCAAGAAATTACTTCAGTCTTTGCTATGGATTAGATGGACATTCAAAGCAGTTCCCCTTTCCTGACTGCAATCCATCAGTTTTATTTGAATTGAACTTTAATCAGCTTTCTAATCCTCCTGCAATCTCAAATCTTGATCTTGTGGTTATTTTCTCTGCCTCAAATCTTGTAAACTTTCAAAAAGCTTCCAGCTGCTTGTTTACATAGGGACTCGCGGGAAAAAATAATCCAGATTAACTAAAGGTGTGAATCCAAAGTACATTTGCTAAACTGGATTAAATCTGCATTATATTTTGGAAGATAATTCAGTAAAGTGCCATTAAAGACAGTTCTGTTATGAATGAGTGTGTCCACACAGTGGTCTAATACAGTTTAAATGATGCACTTCAGAAATTTAATTTGGATCAAGTTCCTTCTGTGTCTCTGTGGACACCGTCCCTAACCATACCACACAGAGCAAGCAGATGGTTTGCCTTGCACTGGAGCCCACTGTGCACCCCTGCATGGTCCATAGCTGAAATCTCTTGTCTCGAGTGGTATGTAATGTAACTTGGAGTATGATCAGCTTATTGTCAATACATAAAGCCATGCTGCCACCATTACCATTATTGCAGTAGTATGCATAGTCTCCAGTGGAAATTGGAGTCCTATTATACTAGATACTAAATGAAGACAAATTAGCTGGCTCCTGTACAAGCATCAGAATCTAAACAGCTGCTTCCTGGGCTGGGCAGGCCATGAGCTGTTGCAGCATCAGGTCTCCCAAGATCCAGCCTGGTGCTTTGTGTGAGAAGTCTGGCAGTCCGGAGAGTCTGCATGGGAGAGCTGGGCCTCTGACTCGCCTTGAAAAGTAAAATGTGAGAATTTCTAACCTCCTGAACTAGATCACAGGGCCAAATCAGCATCAGCTGGCATGACCAACTGTGTTAGAGCAATGCTAGCCACCCAAGCTGAATGGTTTTACTCATGTAAATGTGCTTAATAGAAAGCCACACTGTACATGTTTGTGCTGTACGGCAGCCTACATCTGGTTAAAGTACCCATCTCTTCCCAGTTAAATGCTCTGGGAATTACATGAGGCTTATTGCCTTTTTGATCCCCTTCAAAATTCAGTCAAATTTGATAGGGTTTATAAATTAGTTTCTAGCCTGCCTGTTTCTTCTCTCCTTGGGGAAAAACAGAAAAACACATGAAGTTGTGAGAAATAGTTCATTGTTTCTTCATACATTTTGCCATTTGCAGACCAAAAATATAATGGAAAATGCAGGCTCTTCCATTTGAATGCAACCTCAAAGGTTGTAACTGTCAAACTAGAATATAGTTCTAAGGTTTTGAAAAGGTTTTTTTGTACAGAAAAGTCTTGATTCAGCATGGACAACTTCGTAAAAGCATTAGTGGTATACAGTGTTGAAGCTGAAATAATTGAATCATCTCAAGCCATTGAAATGTTGCTAGGAAAAGAAAAAAATGATGCATTTTGTTTTCATTTTGACCAACACATTTTCATTATGTTTTCTATGAAAAAAACCCCAGACTCTTTTAAAAGATGTCCAGGTTATGAACTGCAGTCTTTAGGCCAAAAAGGACAATGACAGTGAGGTGCAACAGAAACTTCTGAGTTGTAATTCTGAGTCAGGTCAATGAAAACCTCCTAATGTTTTCATTTAATTAAAAAATAATCTATCTGGAACTGCTTTGCACTTGCCATAGGCCAAAACAGTACATACTGGTGGTGCACACAGTGTGCACATGGCCAGCTGACATATGGTAACTGCATGCCCAGCAGTGATTTGTTCGTGTGTCTGAGACATCCAATACAAACACAAGATACTTGCATACTGAAACAATTGTATATATGTATGTTCAGTCTTTTTTTCCCTAACTCCCTGGGATAAAATAATGTAATTACTTTTGTAATTTCACTGTTGGATAATATATACTGATACCAGTGTGATGGAGCTAAAGCTTCTTAAAACTGAGGAGGATTTAGAATTCTTGGTCTTGACTGTCACACTTCAGCAAAGTAAGGAGAGCTACTGTCAGCACAGACTACTTTTATACCTATCATAAGTCACAAGTTGTTGGCCAAAGCAAACAACATGAAAGTAGCCTCATGAATTGTTATATCCATCTCTCCTTTGAGCTAGTGCTCCAGCTGACCAGCTCTGTTTAAAGTCATCGTTTTACCAAAGGGAAACCATTGGACAGCATGATTAGTATTAACATTATCTCTGGGCAGTGCAGAATGCACAAGTGTTGGGACAAAACAGCTGCAACAAAAGCTGAATGTTGAATTGTTTCTCAAAATAAAACATTTTGCAGAACAAAAGTACTGAATGTTTCTCTTCCAGCGAAGCTGAGATTTTTAATAGCTTTTTAATCAAGGTCTATACAAACTTCAGCATTCTTATCTAAGAATACCATAGTATTAAAACCAGTCTTCATTGTCTTCCCTGCTTAGTGGTTAATGCAGCTGTCGGTGGGATGATCATATCCATCTCATGGCAAACAGCAATATTTTCACGGGTCACTGTTTGTTCAGTTTTTAGACTGACTTATGTTTGAAGAGGTGATAAAAATTTGCAACATTTAGTGCAGAGATTCTTACACCTCAGCAAATTCACCTGAGCATTTAATACTAATTAACTGAACGGTGGCTGCTTACATCCAAACATTGCACAAGTATTCAGTTTCTAATCAGAGGCTTATGAATGAAACACAGTTCTGTGTAAACCATTTGGTGACTGAACTTAATTTCAGAACAGAAATTGACATATAACTCATTGATTTAATTAGAGGTTTTGGAGCTTTCTTGCAGGCTGGATTGTTTCAACAGATGAGATAGTGACGGAGGCCTGACTGTGGCCCTACTTAATGCAGACCATGCAAGTTTGGAGCAACTTTGTGAAGTTGGTAGCATTAAAGTAGAAACAATAAGTGAAGAACAATCATTACAAAACTGTTGGGATCAGTGAGGTCAAAACTAAGATCTCACATAATCAGTAACCTGAGAAGTACCTTTATTTATTCTTGGATGCTTGTATTGATGTGTTTGGGGTTGTTTTAGCTTACTCTTGTCATTTTTCCCACAGAGCTGCTCAGAAATTGAACCTGTCTTCCAAAAAGAAGAAGCACAGGCCTTCTGCATCATCTGTTCCCGAGTCTCCTCTCTTCTCTACCAGCTTCAGCAGTATCCTTCAGACTTCCCCACCCCCTGCACCACCATGTTTGTTGAGGGCAGTCAGCAAAGTGAAAGACACCCCTGGTTTGGGCAAGGTAGGCATTGCGAGTGTCACTAAAACACTTCTTTCTTTGGGAGAAGATTTTATCCTTGTGTAAAACGTTAAGGGAATTGGAAGACGATGTCCTTTCTCTTTACTGCAATTGGTCCCGTCCCGGAACACGTGTATGAAGGCCTAACAACATAAGTTACTTAGTGCAAGTGGATTTCTGATGGAGTTGACTTGAACACAGCCAGACCTAATTGTGCATCAGTAATAAATTTCAAACCTCAGCTACACTAACCACACCTGCATTAGGACCAGAGCGCTACTCAGTGGTGATATGTCCACTCTGTGAGGGATTCTGGAGCAGTTGGTCTCTGTGGCTGTGTTTAAACTGCATAGCAGTTGCTTGCTGTGGCATGTTCTAAGTACCTGATCCCCTTGCTGTCCAGACTGGTGTGTCTTGCCTGGACACACTGTAATTTGCTTCTGACTCATGTTTCCTGGCTTTCTTCCAGTACAATCAGGACAAGGCTGGGCCATGTACCTTAACAAAGCCTATGCTGATAATGATGAATTGCTCCTTTTTCCTTCTGTCATGTTATTTCCTCCCATTCTCCATAATCATACCCTCTTAAAATGCTGCTTAGGTGCATACTTATAATGGAAAACGATTGAAGTGATGGAGGAGGTGGCTATATAGCTTGCTGTTGCTTTGTTATTTGTCTGAGTGGACCTTCCTCTCTCCCTCTCACAAATTGAAAGCCTGGCATATTACATCTGGGAATACACATGTGCAGTTGTCGAGGACAGCAGTTTGCTTTAATCAAGGTAGTTTCTTATGCAAGCATCTGTGTGTCTGTGGTTTTTCCATTCATTGAATAATAAGCAGTGACAATGAATTTGGTGAAAATCTTTGTGTTTAGAAGAGAAATTGTAATGGGTAATCTAGGAATGCTGAGTGTAGGATGGCCTTCAGAATTTTTATTGCTGATTTTGGATACTCACTTTCTTAAATTATGCAGTTGCAGTTTGGTGGGGTTTTTTTGTTTGTTTTGTTTTTGTTTTTGTTTTTTTTTTTTTTTTTGTTTTGTTTTGTTGTTGTTGTTTGTTTGTTTGTTTTGTTTTGTTTTTTTTCCCCCAAAGAACAATGGCATTACTTTCATGGTGGTTTAGTGCCTGTTTGAAAAGGGATTCCTTCCACATAAGGCTCCCTTCCTTTCCTCTGGCCTGGTAGCTGGGAAGAAACATACAAATCTGTCATGATTTTATAAAAGTTAGTAGTGATGTATACTCTCACTTGGGTGGGAGGAGGATTAAATTTGAACCTGCTCATTGTTGTAAGAAGCTGCTAGGGAGGATATTTACAATATAAGCTGTCTTCTCAGGATTCATACTTTTCTGTGATTGAGACAGGTTATATCTGGATAAAAATAAAAATTCCATTGAGGAAAAGTGAGGGGTGTGTTCATGAAGACAAGGGAATTGTCTTCCTTGTTGAACTCTGTGAGTACTTTTTCTGACTGTTGGTTTTCACCCTGCCCAAGAAAAGGGTCTACACTAACAAATGTAGCTCTGTCAAAACACTGCAAGCTTGACCTGAACCTGTCTTGCTCATCTAATCATTGGTTTCCAGTGGATAGGGCTTGAGAAACAGTTTTTCAGTATGCCCAAACAGATTTATCATTTGCTGCTTCATCAACACCAGGAACCAGAACAGGTTCCAGTCTTTCCAGCTGTGTAAGTAAAACTGAAATTTTGCAGTCCAGCTGATGAAGGAGTATATTTATTTTCAGTTTAGACTTACTACCCTGTAGCTATCAGAGTATATGAGAAATAGTTAAGAGGTTTAAAAATACATTTTAACACATGCTTGTTCAAAGCAGTAAAACAAATTAGGTTAATTCATATAGACAGAGAAAATTATTTTTTTTCCACATTTCAATTAGCAAAAATATGTCTAACCTGCAGTTTCTGGTATTCAATTTCATTTTTCACCACTTTAGTTTCTTCTAGGAGTCACCCTATAATTATGACCTGAAGCTTGTATACTTTCATCAAAGTTTTCCATCAGTTTAGCTCAGTAGCATGATTTTCATTTTAATATGTTAGAAATAGGTGCAAGGCATAATATGTAAATAACTGCATGATAGTAATCTAATTTATCTGTCAGAGTGGGAAAACTTCAGATGAGGTAATGAAATTTCAAGCTTTTTTGCTTTTAATTTTTATTGTTGTTATTTATGTTTTTCTGTGCAGTTTGGTTGGCATATGTTTTGTTAGGACCATGCTAAAAACTGTGTTATTTTTCTCCGCATTTTCTCTTGTATAGTGTTTTCTGTAAGGGTATAAATTTATAAAATGTGGACCTGTGTGGAGGAAGTGGGCTGAGGGAAGCTAAGCGTTATTTTCAGTCATGTAAGCTTTTTTCTGGTTTGTGTTTAAATAGCATTTTACCAGCAATGTCAGTGTGACAGGAGTCTGTTTCACTTTGGGTTTGAGTGGGCTGGGCAATTTCTAACATGACAGTTTGTTACTGGAAAGTCTGGTTTGCCAGAACTGGAAGGCTGGCCATTGCCAAGGGTTCTGGATTTCTGAGACTGCCAGGGACATCTGCGCACAGAATTCCCCAGGATGGGATTCCTGGAAGGCAGGCTCTTTGCTCTAGGGCTGGAAGCCCCAGCACAGACACTGAGTGTCGCTGGCTTGGTGTCAGCTTGAGAGCTGTCAGTTTGCCGGGGTAGGTGGGTATCTGAGACGCTGCAGGGTAGGAAGTCAGGTACTTCAAAGCTTAGACTTCAAGGTTAAATTTCATTTCACAGTTTTCTAAAATGAACTTGCCACCAAACAGTTTCCATTTTATATTCTCACTTCCACTAGAAATTTCAAAGCTTCTACTTCTCATTGCAAAATTGATGACAGTGATTTATTTAAACTTGTAGAGTTTCTCAGCTGTCATGTGCAGGCATATAATTTTTGTGAGTTAAACTAGGAAGATTTGCCTACCAGCAACATATTTAGAAGTTAATTAGCAGCTCAGTTAGTACAGATATGGGTACAACTGAAGAGTCTAGACCGATGAAGAGAAGAGAATTAGGGAGTTTCTATTCAGGTTGCATGCTTCACATCTCTTCTTACAAAAGGCCTTGCAAATCAAACTGTACCAGTCTGGAATTTGGAAGAAGTATTATTTGAAAGCTAAAGTTCAGCTTCACAGAAGGAGGAAGATTATATTAATAATGAAATGTTGGGACTGCATAATCACCATTTTACTTTGGCATTAGATACACCATTGAGCCTAGCAGAAATACAGCAGTATCAAAGTGAAATAAAGGGGTAGAGGAGTAGGTTCTTTGTCATACTCATTTCCAAAAAGCTCTCCCTGAAGTGAAGTAAAAGGTTTGTGACTATGTTGCAAGTATATTAACAGTGGTGCTTGTATGGGTCATAACGTACACATGTGCTTTGGGTTTCCATTTGCTGGCAGAGGGAGTTGATCCCCCGTGGTAGTGTGGCAGCCCCACAGTTGTTTGCTGAGAGCAGAGTTTTCTTTTGGGCTCTGTGACAGTCCTGCTCCATAAACTGCCACAGCTTGAGCATCACTTTTCCTTCTCTCTCTGCTGTCTTTGAATCATCATATTCTGAGAGTGACAGATTGCTTTTGCTGGGTTTACACACAGAGTGTGCCACTGTCCCGGATGACTGTATGTGCAGTTTCCCCAAGTCCCATCGTTTTCTGGAAGCTAATGTCTGTTTTGGTTCTTTCTGACAGTAAGCCAAGAAACAGAGCAAAAAGGCTTTCCATGCAGAAATAATGAATTATTCCATGCCTGCATTCAGATTAACTACTGTAAGGTCATTCTAGTAAGGTTTGCTTAGATTTACTCCCCCCATCTGCTTCTCTCCTTCTTCTCCCTGCCCCTCCTCTTCCATTTTCTGTCAGACAAAGCCAAAACTAAACCAATACTTTTGCTGAAAATCTGAAATGTTCTTTCTGTGAAAGATGTTGTTTTGCTGAATCCTACGTTACACATGAAAAACAGCTTGAATGAAAAATTTTCTGCCAGCCTTAATAAATAGGTTGTTTTCAGATGGCACGGGCCTTAGAATGAGTGGATGTGGTCTCTGTGCTTTCTTTCATTTATTATTTCTCTGTGTATAGTCTTATAAAAGTCTGTCACTGAGAGGCATTTATTATGTTTGGGCAGAGATTAGTTTACTTTTCCTTATTCATTGTTTTTTTTTCATGTGAATTGTTGTTTGTTGGTACTTGTTAATCTCAAAATAAAATAGCAATGTTTGTGCATTCAAATCATCCCTATGCAAAAGGTTTCTAGCAGGGAGAAACAAGAATTCACTGTTGAACCTCCTTCGAGTAATCATTTCAACCTATTAGCAAAATGGACTGTAATTTGTGATACTGTGTTTACTTTTTATTTTTCTGTAGCACTAGGACTCCTGTTTGCAGAGCTTAGCCCCATTTTGCAAAATTATTTATAAATTCAGATAAAACCCCCCTGTTTCTGTCCCAGAGCACTTAGGGTCTCAGTGTAAGGAGGAAGACCAGACAGATAGAGACAGGAAGCAAGAGGAAACAATAAGGTATTATCAGTCATCTTGACAGTGGTGTTCAACCCATCAGCAGTCTAATATTAGATACCCCTTGTCAAGCTTTGGTAGGTGTTGTAGAAGAGGAGATTATTAAAATCTTTGAAAGGGGAGTAATAGGTTGCCCAGCAGATGCTTCTGAGGAGCCCTTTCCACGTGTGTAGTGCAGGGTAGGAAGCAGCACAGAGAGGGGTTTTTGAGAATCCAGTGAGTGAGAGATGTGGGAGCTGGTCTACTGGCAGGGGCTGAGCACAGAGACTGTCTGAGAAGGGCTTTGAATGGAAGCCAAGCCACAGCCAAATGCCAGGAATGCCCACAAAATGCTGTTAGGAGAGTTGTGGTGTGATAGACACTCCTGAGTCATACACCTTTCTCCTAAGGATCTGTGTCACATACTAAAGAAGGTTCAGTTAAAAACAATTTTTCAGTACCCGGCTGTAAGAA